TCGTTCCGGAACAGCATGGATTTCGCCAAAATCGCTCCTATACAACTAATCTGTTGATTGCTCGTGCCAACTGCATGGAATCCGTGGACGCTGGTGTAGGAGTCGACGCGGCCTAGTTGGATTTCTCAAAAGCATTCGACCGTATAGACCATCGTATTCTCCTCCACAAACTCCAGAAATATGGAAGCGGCGATCCTGTTCTGGGCTGGATAGGAGACTTTCTCGTGCAACGTCACCTGAACGTGAGGGTTCAAAGCAACCTATCAGAATCCAGCGAAGTTCAATGCAGCGTACCTCAGGGCTCGGTACTTGGACCCCGCCTGTTCCTGGTTTGCATAAACGTTCTCGAGAGTGTGCTATCTTCTGTTTGCTATTTGCTGATGAGCTAAAGGTATGGCGTACTATAGCTGCAGTGGAGGATCACGCAGTCTTACAGGAGGACCTAGACAAAGCGTACACATGGTCCATCGAGAACATGCTACATTTCAACGTCACCAAGTGCGAAGTTCTCAGTATCCGGCACAAGAGTATGCACAACTACCGCCTAGGACCACAAATTCCACAGTGGGCTTCTCACGAGTGCCATCTCGGCGTGATAGTTTAAGACGATCTCGGTTGTTCGAGGCAGACTGGAAAGGCAGCTAAGCAAGCGAACCAGTACCTCGGCCTTCTTCGGAGAGCCTTCGAGAAGTTTGACCCTTCGATCTTTCCAAAAATGCTTAGTGCGTACATGAGGCCGCACGCGGAATACGCTATACAAGCGTGGCAACCCTGGCTCAAGCAATATCTCACCACGCTCGATACTGCACTATGTAGAGCAACGAAGAACGTCAGAGTTTGGACCGGCCTGCCCTACCCACTCAGGCTGAAGACCGTCAAACTATACAGTGGACGTTATCGGCGTCTAAGGGGTGATCTCATAATGGCGTACCAGATCCTGTGGAACTCCAACCACCCATGCCATTCCCTTCTGATACTCAGTCGAAACACCTCGCTAAGAGGTCACCAGTTTAAGTTAGTCACGCAGTACAGCCGCCTGGAATGTCGGCGAAACTATTTCTCCCTTCGCGTGGCACAGCCTTGGAGCGCGCTCCCGGAACAGGAAATTAATGCACCCACCCTATCCCTTTTCAAAAAACGCCTTGACGATAATCTGTCACATTTACACCACGTCCTATAGCTCATGACGACCAGATGCTGGCACTAATGCACAACAGACAGGGGATAGTGCCATAACCCTACTCGAGAATGAGTCATTCCAAACGCCTTGCAAGCAATTTGATAAACGCTACTACTATAGAAACTAGATTCCTGTATCCTGTCGACCCAAGACAGTTGCCCACGAGTAAGTGTTGTCCTTGTTATTCTTTTTATTTTTCTCGTCTATGTTGTGAATAAGAACCACTCCTCTGTTGTGTTGTGTGCGTGCATTCTCATTTCAAACTCCCTTTGAACGACGGTGCAGTTACATCTGTAAGCGCCCGAACTGAGGACTCCATTATCCCTTCGCTATCTTTTTTTGTCACGCTAAACACCCTACGGGACATATCAAGCACCTGCTTTTTACCCGTTATAAACCATTGTTCATTGTTCGTAGAAGTTCCAGCATCACACAGCGAACAATTAAAGGCGGATTTGCAAGTGGTGATCTCAGATGTTCCTCTATACAACCATGTCACCTCTCCCACGCGATTCCGAACAGGTGACCCTTTGTTTTGGACCTTGTGATCTCGAACGAGAAACTAATGGTGGACACTGTGAGCATAGATACCCCACTTGGCCGTAGCTATCACGTGATATTGCTCTTTCTTTACATCTGTTACCCGGAGTACACCAAAGAGAACAATTTGGAAACCTACGTCGTTACACATCACGATATACTGTCCAACTTCTTTCACGAAACCGACTGGTCCTTCCGGGCCGAGAAGCCGCCCGATGTCGTCTGGATGTTGTTCATCACCTAATTCACTGAGCTAGTGGCAAATGCATCAGAAAGCAAGGTCCTTCTTCCGAGACAAGCGAATTCGTTCCTGAGGAGCCGTACTAGCAAATGCATGGGTTTAGGGGTTCAGCTTGGCGCGCTTACAAATGCTGTCCAAGTAGCCTGACCTGGGATGCGTACACAACTCAACGAAAGCACTGCGTCAAGTTGATCCGCGAAGACAACCTCCAGCAGCAACAGAACGTAGCGGCGAAATTCAGTACAAATCCCTTTGTTGTATAAACACGTCAAAAAGCTCCGCAGAGTGCAGCGCGGGATCCCGGTTTTAGGTACAACAGATGGTCATGTACAAACCGCACAAGAGGCAGGGAACGTGCTTCGCCAACACTTCATCCATACTTTCCGGAGTGAATCATCATTTCCTCCGGTATGTCACAGCACCCATCGCCACTAGCATTAAGCCATGCACCGTTCGTGGCAGCCATTATGATGAAAACGTTAATGTCATTGCGCATGCACACCTCACATTGCATGGACGACATCAAAGCGAAGGCCTTGAAGACAGCAGCAATGAACCTTGGCGAATTATTAGCTCGGTTCTTTCAGCGTTGTCTTAACGAAATGCAGATTCCGACAATGTGGAAACATGGACTAGTCACTCCTATTTACAAAAGTGGTAATCGTTCGCAGCCGTCGAAGTACCGTTTAATCCCTATCCTCCCAGTTTTATGCATAGTAATGGAACATACAATTGCAGAGGCACTCTTGGGATATCTTGGGAGCAACAACATCGTAGTATCACAGCAACACGGATTCCGCTGAAATTGATCCTGCACCACAAACTTGCTGCTAGCCTGAGCAAGCTGCACAGAGTCAGCCGATACAAGAGTGGGAGTCGACATTGTCTACCTGGACTTCTCGAAAGAGTTCGACCGTTTGGAACACCGCATTTTCTCCTTCACAAGTTTCAGAGCTATGGAATCGGTGACCATGTGCTCGGTTGGATCGGCAACTTCCTCGTCCAACTTCAGCTGAATGTGAGAGTTCGCAGCTCCATTTCCGACCGAATTGACGTCCAGCGGCGCGTGCCTCAAGGATCGCTAATGGGGACAGGTATATTCCCCACATTCGTTAACGACCTTGGCAGTATACTGCAGTCGAAAATCTTACTATTTGCAGATGATATCAAAATTTGGCAGGATATCAGGGCATCGGATGTTCACATGGCATTGAAGAGCTATATCGACAAGGCTTATGCGTGGTCATCCGACAACCGGCTCCAGTTCAACGTAATCAACTGCAAAGTCGTAAGCATACGCAATCAGCTTATCTATGAATATCGACTTAGAGACCAGCAGTTACAACGTGCTTCCCAAGAAAAAGACCTCGGGATGATCATGCAAGACGATCTTGGTTGCTCGATACCGACTGATAAGGCATCGAAAAGAGTCAGTCAACATCTTGGACTCTTACGGACGGCTCTCGGCAAATTTGAGCCATCAGTTTTCCACAAGTGCTGTACGCCTACGTGAGACCACACTTGACATATGCGATCCAGGCCTGGCGTCCCTGGCGCAAGCTCGATGTCGATGCACTTGAAGTTCCACAACGTAGGGCGACCAAACTCGTTAGAGGATTGTTTCATCTCTCCTAGCAACAAAGCTTGCAGTCCCTGAGATTGTGCAGCGGTGAATATCGACGTCAGCGAAGAGCCTTAATCATGGTTTACTTAATACTGACAAACCCAACTCACCCACGTCGCAGTATATCGCAGATGAGCCGAAATACCAACCTGAGTGGTCATCAGCTCAAACTGGTTGCACACTACAGTCGACTTGATTGTCGACGCAAGGTTTTCTCCCTCCGTGTGTCCCGTGCCTGGAATGCCCTTCCGACTCACGTTACCCTTGCCCATACCTTAACGCTTTTCATAAAACGTTTTGATGAAACGCTTTCAAACTTGCATTACTTGTTATAGTCTGTTTCACTTGGATGACGAAACCACGCAAACCTTACCATCTGCTTAACCGGCCTCACCGCAAAGTGGCGGTGTGGCTACATACAGTAGGGTTCATATGATTAGACTGGATGTAGCTAAACTGGATTAACCAATCACGTCTGTCAAATGAAGAAACAAACGACTGAGCTTTCTCCTTTCTTGCGTATCGGAGCGTCTGATTCCTCCACAAGTTATGTGTTTGATAGGACTGTACTTCCTCACGTGACGCATCAGGTTGATCTAGATGTCGTCCACTGGTCCACACTACACTCTGGCGGCCACTGGAGGAAGGCGGCTAGTAGAGGGTTCCGGATGTTTTGGTTTATCCGTCGTTCTTTTGGGACCCTAACCGCTGATGTGTTTGTGAAGCTTTTCTCAGCGTTTGTGCGACCCCACCTAGAATATTGCGTCCAGGCCTGTCCACCATGCCTTGTCCGGGACAAAATGGCACTAGAAAGGGTGTTGGTTGCCGGTACTAGGTTGGTCAAGGGATTACGAGGGCAAACGTACCCCGAACGCCTACTTAGTTTGGGGATGTAGTCAATGCACTATCGAAGGATTAGAGGGGACCTACCCTTAACCTACCGTATTTTGACTGGGAAGGTTGGTCCTGATTTGTCCATGCTATTTAGTCCTGCTAGATTATCTGGTCTTCGCGGGCATTGTATGAAGCTGGACAAAACGCGGTCCGATCGAGTTAGAGCGGAGACACGCTTATCGCGTCGAGTCATCGAGGGCTGGAACCTGCTTCCAGAAAAGGTTGTCAAGGAAGCTACGGTTAAGGGGTTTGAGCGTCAACTAGATGCTCTTGGGTGGCAACACGAAACCTTTCCGTTTTCCTGACAAATTCCCATCTTCATACTTCGATTCTATTTTCTTTACTTTTCCTCGCCGTTGGTATTATTCTCTTCTTTTAACTGATTTCCCCTACTCTCTTACCTTCGCTTTTTCTTCCTCTCTTACTTAGTTCACTTAACTGACATAGTTGGGACAGCTAATGTAAGGAACGTGGGCATTAACTTGGTGCACCAGGTTGTTTTTCGGGTGTTTTCCTTTTAGACCCATCAAGAAGTCGGAGCACCCCTATCAACTCCTCGATCGACGACCCGCTCAAGTAGGAACACTTACGGGATTCATGCTATCGTTCCAGTCCCACTTGAACTTGAACTTCTTTTTTATTCCTCCCGCACTTATTGAACCATAACAGCTTTCTATACTATTTTGCGTGTGCACATTCCATTCCCACTTCAAACTATCGTTATGCAGTAGTGCATTAAACTCGGTGGACGCTGGAAATAACCATTTACTTATTCAATGATCATAACAATTGTAATTTGTACTCCAACCATCCTACGGGACTTTTCAAGCACATACTCTTTTAACCGTGATAAATCATTGTTCATTATCATTGTTCATTGTTCGCGCTACCTTAGCAATCTCCTCCAACTAAGATACTTTCCAGGACTAATAATAAAAGCGAGGTGCAGTATTATGTTCGAGTTGTGATTATTATTTCGTGTTCAGTAGCAACAAAATAACAATGTGATTTTCATCTTTGGTTTGCTTGTTGGTTGCTGAGGACATTATCATCGCCTACGTCATCAAAGTCAGTGCCCCACTAATTAAAGCGTTTGATTCGTTTTCGTACAGAAAGGAAAAGCCACAAATGGGGGTTCACTATAGGGATCGAATGGGGTCCTTGTTATAAATCCCAAAAGACAAATTCATTCATTCATTATACAAGTCCGCTAGAGGTGGGAAACACCTCAACTATTGTGCCGCAATACATAAATGTTATAATCTTCTCACTAGACGCAACTCCAAAAATAACAATTTACTGCTCTACAAAACTTCTAGCCCAACCGAAGGAAAAAAGCAAAACGCCAATGACCTTGACAAAATAACGTATTAATCGCCGCCAACGAACACTGTACAACGACTGCGGACCTTGGCTCTATTTATAGGTCTCTTACTGACCTTCGACTGCTAGAATTGAAAGGTCATCTACCGAGGTTAGTGGTTCCCCATACCTTTTGTCGAGGTGTCAGGTGGATTTTAATCACGTGCAGAAGCAGAACATTCCGGAACGTTCGAAATCGATGCGATAATCGTTAATAATCGATTAATCGCTAAAATAGTGGATTTCCAAGGCAATTCTTACTTTCTCCCGGACACCTCCCCTCCTGAGATATCGTCCGAGGTATAAGACGAAAGCCTAGGATTAACTTGCAGTCTTCGGGACGGTGTTCTCTGCCTGTCGTCCACCTCCTTGGCAGAAGCGCCCGAGCACTTTGTTCCGATGTTCTTGTTCTGGATTCTTTGCTCGACTGTGTGCAGTCGTCCACTGCTTCCTTCGGCAGGTTGAAGCTTTCCACCAGTAAATCGAACGGCAGGTCAGTAGGCCTTGCTTGTTCTGGTTGGCAAGATGTGGGCCGTAACTGGTTTGCATGCCGTGGCCAGATCTGTGCGCCCACCATCACGTCATACATGACGTTTCCGCGCTTGCTTTTGACCGTCCCTGGCGTCCATTTCGCATGGCCTTCCCGGTAGTCACGTACTAGCACCTTCTGTCCAAGCGTGAAAGAGCGCTTCTTTGCACCACGACGCCGGTTAAAATCCTGTTCCATTCTGCGATTTCTTTCACCAACAGAGGACTCCGAGCCCGGTCGAATGGCGTCGAAAGGCATGCGGAGCTTCCGGTTCATCATGGCCTGTGCTGGAGAAACTCCGTCCGGCGCTTGTGGATTCGGTGTTGATCGGTAGAGGAAAAGGAACCGGTCAACAACCTCCCCTTTACGTCACTCCCCTTTTGATTTGTGGAGAGCTCGCTTGAATGTATCGACAAACATTTCTGCCTGGCCATTCGACTGTGGGTGAAACGGCGGCGAGCGAACGTGCTGTACGGCGCATTGCTTGCAAAACTCCGTAAACGTTGCTGAAGTAACTTGCGAGCCATTGTCGGTTACAATTTTCTCAGGACAGCCGAATCTGCTAAAGGTTTGGCGCAATTGCCGTATGGTGGCATGGGTGGTCGTCTTCTCCATAAGAAATACTTCAGACCACTTGCTGTATGTATCGACTATAATGAGGAAACTTCGGCTGTTGATCGGTCCCGCAAAGTGAACATGGATGCTGCACCATGGCTTAGAAACTGTTGGCCATGAATAGAGTACTGATTTTTGTGGCGCTTTCTGGACATTGGCACACAGTTGGCAGCCTTTTGCATTCTTTTTCTAGCTGTTTGTCCATGAACGGCCAGTATACGTAACTGCGGACAATCGTCTTCATCCGGTTGATCCCAGGATGCCCGGTGTGTAACTGCCGAATAAGACGCGCCTGATGTGCCTTTGGGATGACCACTTCTTTCCGAAAATATTATGTAGTCGTTTACAATAAAGAGCGAGTATGGCCTCTGGGAGTATTGTTGCAACTCGGCAGGCGGACATGACGTGGCCAACTTGTTTCGTAAAATCGTGTAACCTTCTTGATTATTGGGTTCCGAAGGGTTACGGTTCGTACAGCTTCTGCGGTAACTGGTAGACTGTGCAATGCATCAGTTACCAGATAGTTGACGTCAGTTCAATCTCGACGGAGGCAATGATTGTGTCTTCGCGTTCTTGCTGACAGGCATCAATTAGGCGTGACAGTGCATCCGCTTGGCCAATGGAAACTGTCGACTAATATTGGATCTCGAAATCATACCCCATTAAGGTAAGAGCCCAACGTTGTAGCCGGTTGGCTGTGTAGGCAGGGATGCCCTTTTCGAACCAAAGATAGCCAGCAAGGGCTTGTGATCTGTCAGAAGCTTGAAGCGGCGGCCGTATAGCATTTTGTGGAATTTCTTGACCGCGTACACTATGGCCAATGCTTCTTTCTCAATCTGGCTGTAATTCTTCTCGGCCTTCGTAAGTGTTCTGGCGGCATGGGCGATTGCCTTTTGAGATCCATCGGTGTAGGTGTGTGATATTACTGCACCAATCCCATGGCTTGATGCATCTGTGGCCAAGACAATCTCTTTGGAGGGATCAAAATGGGTCAAAAGCAACTTTGAGGACATCAGTGACTTGACGCGTTTGAAGGCATTCTGGCATTCTGATGTCCAGTTCCATCTTTGGCCTTTGGCTAATAGCTTGTTTAACGGGGCACGCAGGCGGTGCATCTCAGGCAAGAATGCACTGTAGTGGCTGATGAGCCCACAATAGGAACGCAAGAACTTTGGATTTGTTGGCGGAGGCATTTTTCTAATAGCTTCTATGTTTTCCGGATCTGGTCGACGTCCATCCTTTTCGAGGATAAAACCGAGGTATTTGATGATCGGCGTGAAAAATGTGCATTTATCTTCACGGATCCGGAAACCGTACGACTGTATACAACCAAGCACTTCATCCAGGCGGTTGGATAGTTCTTCTGGTGTTCGACCCATCACTATGATATCATCCAGATATGCAGCGGTTCCAGAAACGCCCGCTAGCATGGTGTCCATCAACTGCTGGAAGGTGGCTGGCGCCGTTTTCACACCGAATGGTAAGCGGTTGTATTGGAATAGCCCACGATGAGTGTTGATCGTCAACAACTCCCTCGAGACATCGTCAACATCCACTTGCAGATAAGCATCGGATAGACCAAGCTTAGCAAAGTACTTACCACCATTCAGCTTTGCAGAGATATCCTCCGGTACAGGTAATGGGTACTGGTGGTCGTCCAGCGCGGCGTTGAGGCCAGTTGAAAAGTCAGCGCAGACGCGTACCTTGCCATTTGCTTCTTCACTGCGACAACAGGTGCGGCCCATGATGAGTAGTTGACAGCTGTGATGACTCCGGCACGTTCCAGTCGATCGAGTTCCTGCTAAGCGGCTGACATGGCTGCATATGGTATCTGCCTTTTGGCCTTGAACACTGGTTTAGCACCTGGTCGCAACTTCAGTGTCGCTTTGAATTTTGTAAAATGGCCCAAGCCATCCTGAAAGACAGAGGCAAATTTTCGCTTCATGGTACGTATCATTTCTTCGACGGACTTTGATGATGGGTCTGGACTTGCTCGAACTCGGTTGCAGATTTGATTCAAGGGAACATCGAGGAGATTCAACTTTTCAATCCAGTCAAGACCAAGCAGATTCAAATTCGGCCAGTCTGAAATGTAGCATGTTCCCGACTTTTCCACAACTTTGAAAGCAATCTTGCGATTGAGTTCGCCCACTAGGTTTAACACACCGCCGGATGCATTGTGTGCAAATTTCTGAGACTCGACAATCTTCGGCCTCTTTATGTGATTCCATGTGTTCCTGGAAATTAATCGTGATGTCCGAGGCCGTGTCAATTTGCAGTTTCTTTGGGATCCCATTGATTAACACAGTGATGAATCGTCGTCTCGGTTTACATTCGCTTTGGAATGCGGCAACTATGGACAGAGACTCAGCGCCGTCCTTTCTAGAATTCCCCTTTCGACAAAACTTTTGCACTTTCTACGACCGGACCTGACTGCAGCATTCCTCTTTATGCCCACGCTTATGGCATGTTTGACAAATATGAAGTTTGAAGGGACAAAAGCGAGCGAAATGCCATTCGCCGCATGACCAGCATGCTGTGGGCGATTTTTTCGTCTGCTTGTTGAAGGGTATGCTTCGGTTGCCGGTCCTGGCCTTTTTCACGAGTTACACGGTGTCTGGTTGTGCGAGACCATTGCGTCCGACCGTGGCAGTGTCGTGTTTTAGAGTGAGCAACCGGTTGCAGTCGCTTACGAGGGTTTCAGTGTCAGATAAGGCTCCTGATCCAGCTTAGCTTAAAGCCGCTTGTGTATCTCAGCAGCACTGGGCGATTGTAGAGCGCTGACAAAAATGGGACACTTAAACTGCTCGTCCGTTAAAGAGCGCAGTTTGAAACGTTCACACTCCCGGTTAATCATGTCTGCTAGGGTCCCAAAATCGTCCGCTTCCTGTTTGACATTTTTTACGCATTGATGGTGAATACTAAACAACAATACCGACTCATCAAAAATTTCCTTCAGCTGCTACACTACTTCATCAAAAGTCAGATCATTCGGCTGTTTAGGCAAAATGTGGTCGATGAACCTTGCATGTTTACTTATTCCGAGCTTGCAGAGTAGCAATCGCACTTCAGGAGTCGTCCTGACGAATAAAGTCCGTCTGGAACATGTCTTCCCAACGCTTGAACAACGCTTCAAAGGTGCATCCAGAATCCGCATCATAACTGAATTCAGTGATGGCATTCGTGAGAAGGTCAACAGAACTCGCCTGCGTGTCCCGCGCCGCTGCTAATAGAGGAGAGGCACAAAACGTTACATAAAGATACAATCGCCAATGCGTGGTATATGGGTATATGTGTTTGCACACAGACCTTTGGTGCATCGTCGAGCTAGATAACAGACCAAGTATTTCAAGATCACCTGTTGTGAGACAGATGATCTGTGTTTTATTGGTAAGCGTCAATACGTTGGTCATTATACTGCATTGATAAATTGCACACTTAC